ATGATGACTCCAACTATGAATGAAGTTTGTCTAGTATACAATATGTATTTACTTCATGTTTAAGGATGGAAGGCCAAAGTTCTGTGTTATTTCTTTTCTGGTGGGATTCTGTACGTTCCTAATCTTTCTCTTAAACTGGTCAGTTTGAAGGTGAGGACGTCTGTGAATAAATCGAGTTTACTTGGTTTATTCATGAATTATTTTGTTTCATTAAACTTATTGTACCAGATATAACTACGAAAATGTTTAAACACTTTTGAACATAAACAAGCTTTATCTACCAACCACCTTATGCCTATTTTCTATCCTAAACTTAATCCAACACATCATATGTCAGCTTGATACATCTCGCTTAGCTCTGTCCAAAGTATCAAATGAAAAGAAACTCAAATATCATGAAAATTGAGGTGTACATTAAAGATCTTATAAAAATAATCCTTTAAAATCACTCATTAAACCATTAAACAAACATAGAAATGTCATATATACAACACATTGTTTACATAATAGTATACCATAAAACTTCAACATGAGTAGTACAATTAATTATAAACAGAATCACTTAAAGCAATGTATTTATTATAGAAGAAATAAGAAATGATATTTTCATTTAAATGTCTGTTTGATTATGTTCTCCTGGATAGTTTGAAGCGAGGGAGAGCAGCAGGTCCTGACAGGTTTACTCCTGAGATTTTTAAGGATGGTGGTTCAGTATTAGCAGTGAGATTAACTGAGGTCTTAGGTAGAATTTGGGAACTGGACGTAATCCCATCTGACTGGTCTCAATCACTGATTGTGCCAGTCTATAAGAAAGGACAAAAGTCCTCTTGTGACAATCACAGAGGAATCAGTTTGACTAATATAGTGTCTAAAATATTAGCCTCAATAATACTTCGACGCCTAACTAAAGCTCGTGAAGAGCAGACTAGAGAAAATCAGGCTGGTTTTCGACCTGGACGTGGTTGTATCGATCAGATATTCACACTACGTCAGGTTCTAGAACACAGACACACATTTAGACGCCCCACAATGGTAGTATTTCTCGACCTTAAGTCGGCATTCGACTCTGTTGATCGTAAGGTTCTATGACAGTGTTTGTCACTGAAAGGAGTACCAAAGAAGTACATTAACCTTATAAAGGCTCTCTACTCGAACACAACTGGTAGAGTGAGAGCTTATGGCGAACTGTCATCAGAATTGATTACCTCAAGTGGTGTTCGTCAGGGCTGTCCACTCTCCCCATTCTTGTTCAACTTTGTCATTGACGTACTTTTAGAGATAACACTCTCCTCATCTAAATTTCCAGGGGTTGAACTTTTACAAGGAGGTTCACTTGTTGACTTAGAATATGCAGATGACATAGTTTTATTTGGTGAAGACGCTGACAAAATGCAGAGTCTTCTGACCACTCTAAGCAACAATGCAAGCATGTTCGGGATGCGATTCTCCCCCTCGAAATGCAAAATGTTGCTTCAGGATTGGGTTGCATTGACACCCGAACTAATGATAGGGAGTGAAGTAATTGAGCGTGTCGATCGCTTCACTTATCTTGGAAGTCTCATCATCATTTAGGATTTTTATCACGAACTGATATCTGCTATAATGCCAAAACTCTATTCAGCCAAATGGATGAATAAATTTCGCACCAAAATCCAAGACCTCTTATCTTATAACTGATTGATTTGTCCATAAATTATACTCTCGTCAAGAATCGTTTTTTCCAGAATATTACTGCATTTGGACAACTAGTACGGATAAGCAATATTATATCTAAAGATTTCATTTTTCTGAAGTCTTTTGAAATTCCTCAATGTTTCTGTTCATCCATGACAATTCAATAATTAAGCACTCCTGTTTTTCTTTCTGAATAATGTATATCATTGTGATTGCCATAGACATTTATCGTAGACTGATAAAAACCCCATACTGATAATTACCATGTGCTCACTAGTGATTGACCTTGTGAAGAACCTAGACTAGTGGAGCTAGTCCGCGTCGGGTAGAGACGGGTATCTACCTCAGTACAATGGAAGATGGTCGCGCAATTCCGTGGATTGGTTGAAGTTAGACATCTATATTCCCGACTTACGTTATATACTACTTATGTCGATAAAAGTAGCACACCGCACTATGATCTAATTAAATTATGATTTAAGTTAAATAGCTTAACACATCAGTTGATACTGTATGACTAACGGCAATGAGCACAGATGTACCGGTAGTTGTGTAGTGGACAGAACACTAGTGGGGACAATCGAATGTATTTAGCGCAAAAATTACAAACTATCTCAATAAAATCTGAATACCATAAAGTCAATCGTCAATTTGCAAAATATCAATGCATCATATCAAACTGGACTGTTTCCGTTGTAAACACTAATCCATTGTCTCCCATTTCATTGTACATGCGTTTTCTTACAAATTCCATTGTGCTCTCGCTCTTCCTTTCTTGATCTACACCTCATCTTCTGCTGCCAGATATTACGTTTTAACTCGCGATATATACTACTTATATCAATATAAGTAGCACACACCACAGTTGAAGCTTGTTGTCAAGATTTGTTTGCGATTTTGTGAGAGCCAATACCTTTAATGCAATTTAATCCATATAATTCAGGTTATTATTTGAGATAATTTTGATCATTTAAGCATAATGCGAAAATTTATGTTTTATGTCATAATTCAGTTTATATTATTTTAAATCTTATTTGAAAGAAAGTGCATCCCATTTTCAAATTATGTTTATTGATAACTCGTTGAAGGTAATGAAAATTGATTGCAAGGTTTTATGTCATGTCACATATTGTGATCACTTGACATATCTGAATATTGAAATCATAAATCGATTGATGTTAAACAGTGGGGTAGTGTTAACAAACTACCCTGAAGAAACCCTAATTATTGCAGAAAATCTTAGTATTCATGTCAGTTTTCAATTAAACCTACTTACTTACTTTTATACTTACTTTACTTTACTTACTTGATTGAGACTGGTCATAAGGTTGATATCAAATCAGCATTTGTTGTGTTGTACAAAAGCCTTCAAGGACGTATACTAAGGTTTATTGAAGCCTTGGCTATACGAAAATTAAAAACCCCTTTATGTGTTCAAAAACAATTTGTACTTACACTTAACCTACCCTAGTAGTACTGATTTACTCTCCAGAGTGGTAATCACATTTGTTTTTGTGTACTTTAATATTTTTCCTTTGTTATGACTTACTTAGTTAATTACGCCTGTTACTCCCAATGGAGCATAGACTGACGACCACCATTCTCAAACCCACTCTGTCCTGAACGTTCCTTTCTAGTTCTATTCACTCCTTATTCATTATTTTCATGTCTGTCTCCATTTCGCAGTGTAATGTGTTCTTTGGTCTTGCTGTTATTCTTCCAGGTGAGGGCATGCCTTGTGACGTAGTTGGGTGCTTTCCTCAATATTGCGTCCTATCCACTTCTAGCGCTTCTTCCTGGTTTATTCTTTCGCTGAAATCTGATTTGTTCTCTCCCACGGATAGTGTCTGGCCAGTACGTGTAAGATTATTTCATGATGAAAATTGAAAACATAGAATGGGCTGAGACAGTAATGTATGGTGTTCAAAAACTGATAAGGGTGAGTAATAATTGTAGAAAAGTTCACATGAGTCTACTATCATTTGATGATAGATATAGAACACAAATGTAGTGCAGTAGCAATCATCTAGAAAATGAACTATGGCAAGATAGATTGTCAATATGGGGTTTTGAAGGTTGTTGAGTTTTAGCTAGACAATCACTAAATGTATGGAAGCACTGAATGACCGTTTTGTTCTAGTAAGGGAATCTTCGAAGAGACGAGAATTTTCGAATGATACAATCAGATATCACACAATAGAGCTTGGATTTTGACGCGTTATTCATTTATCCATTTGGTTAAATGGAGTTTTAGTATTTTAGCTGATGTTAGTTTGCGATGAAAACCCTAAATCTAGTTCCTACCCATAACGATTAACTGTAAATCATAATTCTAATTCTTCACATTGCTATACAACCATTATTTGGTCTTAGTATGTGGTTGTTCTCAAGGTAAGTTTAGCGTCACTCTAAGGTCATCCATAAATTATAGTCTAACCTACTCTTCAATAGCAACTATCCAAAACCTTTCATCTAGGACAGATTACATAGTACATTTACAGTAAAATGTTTAAAACAGGAATAATTTAAACACTTTACATACGTTTGAGAATGGAGGATGTATAAATTGTAGATAAACAAAAGAAATTCTAAAACCAATGAAATAACATTTGATACAGTGAAGATAGCATAACAACGTACAAAGAATAATAATAATAATAATAATAATAATAATAATAATAATAATAAGCTGTTGTCTATCTGGACTCAGTGGAAAACGAAGTGAAGTTTTACGTGAATGGTGCTGGGTTAGAGTTCTGGAGTGAATATCAACTCTGAGATGCAGGTACATTCAGCTAAAAGTATCGCAAGTAGGACGAAACGCGCATCCTGGATTCCATAGCTAGCCACCATCCATCTTTGCATAAATTGATTACAGCTGGTAAAGATTTTAATCAAAAGTGTGAATGTGACAAAGCAGTGATAAGCTAACAATTGTCTCTTTTTAAATACATTATTCTATAGCACCTAACCTCCACTTAAGTTTGTTTAAGATTAATTTTATAAAACCCTTCAATGAACTTGATTAACTGACAGTGTTATTCGAACGATAAGAATTTGTCTGCGTCTTTATATTATTATTATTATTATTATTATCATTTTCATGTCTGGATACACATGTATTCTTAGTCACATGTGACAATTTACGCATATATCGCTCTCTCTACCTTAAAAGTTAGTTTATTAAATTGATCAATGAATCATTTGCTTTCCCATATATGTACTAACAAGAATTGTCATTTCAACATTACAGTTACTAATGTTCACTATTTCATATTATGAATACGGATAGAAGTAGTCGAAACGAACCAATGAAATTAAATGAGCTAAGCATAATAAACAACAACAACAACAACAACAACAACAACAACAACAACAACAACAACAACAACAACATCATCATCATCATCATCATCATCATCATCATCATCATCATCATCATCATCATCATCATCATCATCATCATCATCATCATCATCATCATCATCATCATCATCATCATCATCATCATCATCATCATCATCATCATCATCATCATCATCATCATCATCATCATCATCATCATCATCATCATCATCATCATCATCATCATCATCATCATCATCATCATCATCATCATCATCATCATCATCATCATCATCATCATCATCATCATTCTGTCTCAACTTTTGTTTTAGATATTAGGGCGAAATGTCTGTTCAGTACTTCCGGATTTTTCAAGTTGTTCTAACTTCAACTGATTCATGAATCCAGCTATAAACATCAAAATTTATAAAAAAGAACTCATCGCAAAAGAAAATTTTTCTGTCTTTTTCACTTGCATTTGGTGTTATCTTGATAAAACGTGTTGTTAACTTCATATTTATTATGTAGTGGTTGACTTGATCAACTGATTTTGTTATATAATTTATCAAAAAGGAAGTTTAATGTCTAAATATTAGATCATGAGTCTTGAAATTTTTAATTATATCATGTGATAATGCTCATATACACTTTGTGTAGAAAGAAAAATCAGAAATAATAGCTTGATTTGATTGAAACAATGAGGGTCAACAAGTAAATTAGTTTAGATGTTGAGCGTTTCCACTTAAGATCTAGGTTCGACAATCAGTGGTGGAGTCGTAGATATGTACCGCTGAAAATGCCTTTACTAGAGTGAAACCCCTTCCTGGTTTCCAATAGTAATCCATCTAAGATCGGTTCATGATTCAAAATACGGTAATCCTACAAGCTCTGCAAAGTTCTCCATACTACTAATAAAAAATCATGAGTCACAAGTGATTAACATCGAGAAATTACCCGTTGTTCTGGTGAGAAATCACGACTAGCGAAGTTCGATCAGATTAGGTGTGTGCCAGTTACTCACGAAAGTCATTGTAAGATGGTTGAAAAAGTATTTCAAGTTGATTGAAGTTAGACATTCACATCATCAGATCCGAACTCAGTGGTCTAGAGATTAAGCTACTGCCTATGGGATTGAACGTTCTCAGTTCAATCCGCTACTGCCTCATGGATATTTATTGGTGTTATGTCTCAAGCTTAGATGAAATGGATGTTGACTGTTCACTGGTTTTCAAATGATCAGTCCACGATGTAAAATGTAAAACTTAGCAATCTGAACAATTATCTTGCTTACTTTAAACTAAATTATTGAAGCGAACTCTCTAAGCAATGGGATATGTCATAAAACAAAACTTCTAACCAGTCAAAAGACTTTTTTTTCAGCAATTTCTGTATATAGAAGAGTGAAGTAACATTTATAAGAAAAAAATAATAAATTTGTGACATCTCAATAAGGAAATAATTGATTTTCTGATGTTTAGTTATCTACAATTAGGATCGTGGACTCGCGTTTCATCCTATTAAGGTCTCGCCAACTAAATGTAGATATTTACACTTAGAAAAGTTTAAGTGAAAATAAATAAATGACTAATATACATGTATTATGTCCTGCCTATCCCAAGCTAAAGTAAAGGAGAGGGGCTTGGCGTGAGGTTAGCAACCTCATCCCGTAGAAAAAAATCTTGCTAAAAATACGCTAACCAGAATAAACAATGTAAACCACTTAAACTCTGCCCTCGGAGTTGAACGATTTTCTTTCAGAAAAATTATGACGCCTCATGGTGAAAGCCTGGATTCTTAGGAGGTCACGAGGTCGATGCCCTTCTTGACAACCAGTGTAACAATTAATATAGGTACATGGGATATTAGGACGAAGTGGGAGACCGAAAGGACCAGTCAAATAGCTACGGAAATAAGGAGATACAACTTAGCAATGCTTTGAATAAGTAAAACCCATTGGATCAAGCTGGGAAGAAGAGATTAGATTAGAGAGAGAGATGTTGTTGTACACTGGTCATGAGGAAAGAAATTCTCCGCACACGCAAGAAGCTGTTCTGATGCTATCCGAAGAAGCACGAAAAGCTTTTATAGGGTGGAATCAAATGGATTTAGAGTTACCAAGGGGGACCACAATGAATGTTATCCAGTGTTACGCACACACCAATGATGGCAATGAAGATGGTAATGATCAGTTTTTCGAGAAGCTGAAGGAAAGGATTTTAACATCTTGATGGGAAATCTAAACTCCAATGTCGGAATGAACAGCGCCTGATATGAAGATATCATAGACCACATGAACTGGGAAAACGAAACGGAAATGGTGACAGATTTGCAAATTTATGTACATTTAAGAAATGATTTTAGGTGGCACAACATTCCCCTACAAACACATTCACAAAGCTACATGGGTATCATAGGAGCTGACATACCTTTAGATCACCACGTGGTTGTGGCCATGCTGAAACTGAAATTAAGAAAGCACTGCACAACTAAAGAAACAACATTACACATGTCCAATATAGCCTTCCTTAGAGGTACTGACAAACTCGAAGAATTCAAGATAACTCTCAACAACAGGTTACAAGACTGATAAGATATATTAGAAGAAACGGTAAAAGTTTCAAGGGAAGAAAATATGAAATAAACATATGACACGACAAAAAAATATCAGGGTAATATAGTAAACCAGAGAGATCGGTGAAGGACAAAGAATGCAAGGCAGTCACTTAGATTTAGAACAGGGGGACAAGTGGGCAGAGCATTTCGAGAAACTCTTAGATTGGCTTACTCGACTAAATCCGCCTAATATCAAAATAGCACATACAGGCATTCCTTTAGATGTCACTCAATCCGACAAATCACGATGGCTGTCAGAAAAATCAAGAGTGGAAATGCATTAGGACCTGACAATTTACCAGCTCAACCTGAAGTTGGACATAGAAGCAACTGCAAACATGTCTCACGTTCTATTCAGGTAGATTACGGAGGGAGAATAAGCACTGACAGAATGGAAGGAGGATACCTCATCAATATGTCAAAGAAAGGAGATCTGAGTAATTGTGAGAACTGCACAGAAAGCAGACTACTGTAAGTACCAGCAAAGGTTTTCAACAGAGTGTTGCTGAACCGGATGTAAGATATAGTGGACACTCAGCTTCGAGATAAGCAGATTGAATTCATTAGGGATCGATGGTGCACAAAACAAATCACGACATCAACGATCACCGTTGATGGAATTTGTCACTACATCAACCGCATTCATTATAAGAAAGCATTTGATAGTGTGGAAAGAAGAAACTTATAGAAAATAATTAGTGGCCCGATATCTGACTGCAGTTACATCGTGTGATGATGGTTATTCAATGGTTGTTATTGAAATAGTCACACTGGCAAACTTCCAACATAATCATCGACTTAACTCATGTTAATGAATAACGGAATTAAATAAGTCAAATATAAAAATGAAGTTTGAATGTATACATTTGATAAAATCGAGGATCTGGACAATCAAGGAAATGGAACTGCGAAAGCCAGGCTGAACGAAGCGGAGTGGTGAGTGAGTCAACTCCATTTAATCAAGTGTGAATCGATATTTACACTCTAACAAAAATAAGCAACAATTATGTAATGAGTAGTATAAGCAGGCACAACTGACTGGATTATGAAGACCTCCATATTCGAGGAGAAGCATAGAATACAATGAGCAGCATGCACGCAACTAGATGATTCGGACATCCTAGTTCACCTAACACTTCTATGACATACACACAAACAAATACAGATGAAGAAAACTAGTTTGTCAGCACCAGCTCCTGCATCAGTACGCTTCGATATATTAGATGGTGGTTGGAGGAGGTCGACAGGAAACCTTGGACCCGGGTTTCGTGCTACTTGGCACTCGTCAGCAAGGTGTACCTGTAATCTTCGATACATACGAAGCAAAAAGCAACATCCTCAAATACAACACGGACAATACCAACATAAACACACTCGATGGAGAAGCTCTACAACGATTGGAAACCTTCACATATAAGGCTTGCGTCATCAATCAACATGGACGATTCCATGCAGACGTGAATGCATGGAACGTAAAAGTAAGGACTGCATTTCTACAGTTGAACAACATATGCAACTCAAAACAACTATCAACCAGTCAACACCAATGTCACAATCTTCAATATGAACGTCAACACAGTTCGACTGAACTGAACTGAACTGAAATTTCAACAACTACCACAACCATCATCAGAAATGTATAAGTATTTACAAACAATTGTCTACTCAAGATATTTGATGTCCGTTGATCGGATACCACCGACAACATTTTGGTGTGAGAGAGAACAAACCAACTTCTAGATGAAGTGGTAATTAGGAAAAGATGTTGGGAGTGGTTATGTTATGCATTACGGAGATCATCAAACTGTATCACGAAACGAGTGCTAAGCTTGAATAGTGAAGGGAAACGAAAAAGTGGAGTATCCAGCAACATATTTCGCCTACAATTGTAAACAGATATCAAGAGACTGAATGGCAGCTGTAAACAAGTGGTAAGGATTGTTGAGGAGAGATTTGGATGGGGAATGCTTATGCTCTTCTATGAGGGGTAACAGGCCTAGGTAAGTAAGTAAGTAAGTAAGTAAGCTATTAGATATTATCATTACTTTAGTTTTCCCTAGTAACACTTCAGAAATCTTTGAGAAACAAAACAATACATCCACATCTGCTTCTAAATACACGCCTAATAAAAACAGTATAGCAAAGAAAATATTATTTCTATAATATCATCATGTATAGGCAAAAATAATGAAATTTATTTTCAAGTACAGAATATGAGTTACGTAATAATAAATGGTTAGTGAAATGGTGACAAATTAGAAATAACATGTGCAAGAGAGATGTGAAAGGTGATATTCATATTGGGATGAGAAAAACCTTTGTCGAGTTAAATAGGTGGTTAGGAGCATGGTAAAATAAGGGAATGAACATTTGGCTTCCAAACAAAGATACTAGGCATGAAGTGATGAAAAATCGAAGCCTTAATATTGTGTAAATTCATTACTAAAATTCCATGAATGGTAGACCGTTTGATTTTAGATTGTTTCGAATAGGCTGTCTTGGGAAGATGGTTGATCACAATCGACTATACGTTCAACAAAAGATTGTTTGAAAGATCTACGTACACGTCTTGAAAACCATGATGAATCGTGTCCAGATTTACGCTTCAAAAGCATCCTTTGTGAGACTAATATAACATTTACAAATGAACTGGTAGATACACTCTGAGATCGGGCAAAGTCTCAGTTTATCCTTGAAACATCCATAACCCAGTTGAATAAACATCCTATGCAAAGACTACGACAACCAACATTTTTAAATCTTCGCACTCATATCTCGTTTGAAATCAGTGTTGCTGAATAAAGTCTCCCTTGAGACTGCAGGTATTCTGTGGATTTGACGTTTTGATTTCGTGCTGCTGATAATGTACATAATCCTAATAATATTATGGACTAGTTTCTTGAAGCCTAAACTATGGACGAATTAAGCTAATTATTACTTGTGTATCCCCCCCAGATGCCGTGGTATATCCAAGAATGGAGAGAGTTAGCTGTTACTCTGGAGATTTCATCACATGTTCACACGTATAAAGCCACTTATATGGAAATCCTAGTCATTGACTTCTTGTGAAAGGGGTGTTGCTTACGAACTTGAGAAGATGAAAAGTAAATGTCTGGAGCTTTATCCGGATTGGTGAGTATGGAGGTTCCACATAGGGGAGTTGGGAATTCCTGGTTCCAAATCAATGGTTTGGGAACAAATGGCGTATGAACCTATTGTTTGGCACCGGCTACCATGGGATTGCATCTCTTGATGTTGGATCAGACCTTTAAGTTGAAGGCTCTGGATGTCGTTCCCTAAGAAAACCACCTGCTTAGGTTTAGGGACTCGGGTAGTAACCAACCCCTCACACATACCGAATGACTTGTGTGGTGCATGTGTACTTGGTGCTTCTTTGTATCGATGTTTATGTATTTC